AGAAACATATGTTGTGGAATGTTTTTACATGAAAAAGGCTTAAAACAATTATTTAATTTGTCCACCTATATTGTAGTATAGAAATTAATATTTATTTATAAAAAAAAATATGCTAAGTATTTATTTATTTATTAGGGATATAATTATGTTTCTCACTTTCTTGGATTATTTCAAACTTGCATTAATCTAATAGCATATTTTATCAAGCATAAATTTTGAAGGACAATTTTATCCTTAACTAAGTTAATGCATGCATTAAAACTCATTGCATTGTTAATACCATGGTTTCTTATGCATTAGTTATGCATAGAATAATAGCAAATTGGGTGTATAACTAATGATTGCATAACTAATGCATATGCTTAAAAAGTGTACCAAACAAAGTATTACTAATACACAAAGCTAATGCATCCTATCAAACGACCCCTTGAAGCATTCCCACATCTCTCCTGGCTTCTCCAATGATTCTTACTCTGGGAGTAATCATGCTTATGCCCACTTTGTAGGTTTGTTTTGCAATTCTGTAGTTAAGGCTGTGAATTTTCATGCATGTGCATCTTCACAGTTAAGTGCTGATATATGGATTCTTGATTCAGGGGCTACTAACCATATGACACCTCACAAATATCTTCTTCACAATCTTCAACCATTAACTAGACCATACTTAATTACACTGCCAAATGGTTATAAAGTAAAAGTTGTTTCCACTGGGTCTTTACACCTTAGATATGATATTGTCTTGCACAATGTTCTTTTTCCATCATTTCAGTTCAACTTAATTTCAATCTATTAGCTTCTTCTACAACTTCACTGTATGGCAGTTCTCATTACTTCCCATTGTTTCTTATAGGGCCCTTCTCTGAAAAGGCTAAGCATTTTCTTCATCTTGATGATAGTCCTCTAGTTTCTCCTCCTCCATCTAATGTTTCATGTAATTTTTGAACTTTTGTTCCTACTGTATATCTTGCATTTAATTCTGTCAATAATCACCTTCCCATTAGTCCCCCATGTAATCCATCCATTGATATTAATAAGACATATTTGTTTTGGCATCAGAGAATGGGTCATATGCCTTTCAATAGAATGAAATCTATTCCATTTATTTCTTCACAGATTCCCCTAAACAATCCTTTTATGTGCTATTTGTCCTATGGCTAGACAACAAAGGTTGCCATTTTCTGATAGCACTACACATTCCTCTGTCGCTTTTCAGCTGGTTCACATTGATATCTGGGGACCTTACAATATTGTCACCTACAATGGTTTTAGATACTTCCTCATTTTAGTAGATGACTATACTAGGGTTACCTACAATGGTTTTAGATACTTCCTCATTTTAGTAGATGACTATACTAAGGTTACCTGGACTCACCTCCTTTCTAGCAAGAGTAATGCCTTATCCGTCCTTAAAGCCTTCACCTCTATAGTGCAGACTCATTTTCACACCTCAGTCAAGACTTTTGGATCTGATAATGCATTTGAACTAGGTTTCGGTCTTGAATCTAGATCCTTCTTTACTTCTCAAGGCATCCTACATCAGGCAACTATTCCTCATACTCCACAACAAAATGGTATTGTGGAGAGGAAACACAAACACCTCTTAGAAACCTCGAGAGCCTTGTTATTTTAATCCAACTTACCTACCAAATTTTGGGGTGATTGTGTTGTTACAGCCACATACCTCATTAATAGGTTTCCCTCTACTGTTCTTAACAACATCTCACATTACGAGAAATTGCATGGTCATCCCCCTCATCATGATCACCTTAGATCTATTGATTGCCTTTGCTTTGCCACCTTTCCTAAGCGTGGTAGAGACAAGTTTCAATCTAGAGTAATTTTTTCCATGTTTTCTTGGATACCCTTGTGGCAAGAAAGGGTACAAATTGCTCAACTTGCCTTCCCATACTATCTTCTACTCTAGAGATGTTGTGTTTCATGAGCATGTTTTTCCCTACTCCTCTAATTCCTCAACTCCTTCCTCCTCTTTTCCTTCTATTTTTGTTGATACTTCTACTCCTAATCTCCCACCTACCTCTTCTTCTCTTTCTGATTATATTGCTGACTCCTCTCCTACTTCTCCTCCTTCTCCTCCTTTTTCCTCTCCTAGTACTGCCTCGTCTCTCTCACCATCGTTTTTTCCTCCTACTTCTTCTTATCCTCCATATGTTCCTCCTCTTAGAAAGTCCCTTAGGGTGCCACACCTTCCTCCTCATTTAGCAAACTATGTCTGCTTTGCCCCTGCATACGTTGATTCTAAAGTCGTCACTGCTGCCCTGCACCTGCATGAGCCTCAGTACTATCAACAGGCTGTTTCTCATCCTTCTTGGGAAGAGGCCATGCCGAAGGAATTCCAAACTCTAGAGGCTAATAATACTCGGGAGATTGTCCCTCTTCCCCCTAACAAGAAGCCCATACCTTGCAAGTGGGTGTACAAAATTAAACAGAGGTCTGATGGTTCTGTTGAAAGGTACAAGGCAAGGTTGATCATTAGAGGTGATACTCAAAAAGAGGGCATTGACTACAATGAGACATTCTCCCAAGTTGTCTAGTTTACCACTATCAAATGCCTTCTCTCTTTTGCAGTCAACAGCCCAATGGGTGGCTAGCTGATATTCTCAACATTGTAACACTACTACATTTTTGCTGAAGTAGAATAGCCAACTTTCTATTACATTTGGATGGCTACTTTATGTAACTATAAATACCGAGGACTATTCTAGAAAGAGGTTAGACATTCATTTTGGAAATATGAAACATATATCTTCTCTCGTCTCTCTTCTGAGTAGACTAGGGAATTTCCACCATGGAAATCCCTTGTTAGCTTCCGCAATTGTCACCATTAAGAGTGTGACATCCATATTCTCTGTAGTATAAAATATAACTTTTTTTCTCTACAACATTTGCTCCATAGCTGTACGCGTGCGAACACTTTGAAGAGGTTCTTCTAAAGAAAATAAGGTGGGTCGATGGAACTAGATACGAGGAGAAGAATTGGGTATATTTCATATGGTGGTGTGTTTTTATTTTCTCTCTTTGTTTGGAAAGACGGAGAAGAGTTTTAAATGAATGTAGGAAAGAGATGAAATCTGGCCATTAAATTATCATAGGGATACATGGCTTCCATCTAAATGTGTATTGAGATTTACTGGAGCCAATTCGGACCCGCATAACAGAGGCTGACAACTGAAGTTCTTCATAGGCTATACTTTGAGAAATACGAACTTTATACACCATCAAGATGAGCTTTNATATATATATATATAACAAAAGATCATTTGTTTTAAACCGAAACAGAAGAGTAACAAGTTCTCATAACTCAATTGGTTAGACCATCCACTTAGTAAGCGGAGGTCCTGAGTTTGACTCTCAATAGAACATTTTACTTTTTATATTTCTTTATTTTGCTTTGTAATATTGAATCAAAAGATGATTTGTTTTGAAGTGAAATAAAAGAGCAAGAAGCTCTCGTAGCTCAGTTGGTTAGACCATCCACTTAGTAAGCGGAGGTCTTGATTTTGACTCTCAATAGAATATTTTATTTTTTGTATTTTTTTTATTTTGCTTTGGTTGTATTCGTTGAGCGAATGAATACAGTTGATGCGGTTTTGAGTTCGACTCTCAAATAGAATATTTTATTTTTCTGTATTTCTTTATTTCGCCTTGGTTGTATTTGTTACGCTAATGAATACAGTTGATACATGTTGTATTCGTTGCGAACGAATACAATTGACACATGCCTTATTCGGTGCACGCATGAATACAAGTGGTACAAACTAGTAACAATTGAACAATAGCTATGAATAATAATTAGACAAATTATAATTACGTTTAGTAAATTGGTTATTAGGCTCTAAACTATAGTAATTTATGAAAATTCCTCATCAAAATATAATCAAAATTATATTTTTCAAATTTACCCAAAGAAAGTATTACTCGTTCAATCCATCCAAACTTAAGCTGGTTGGACTGGGCGTATGTTCAGTGACGAGTCATTGCTGACATAACCCAAGTTAATCCATCTAAAAGGTTGGTCTAATTTGGGCTGTATTTATACCTTTTTAGCCTGAATTAATCCATAATAAGAAAATTTATCAAAACATAGAAATATCGTATTTTTGAGTTTGGTATTTTTGAATAGCCATGATAAATATTAGAAAAAAGATTTTAAATGTTTGTTTTTGTAATTGAGCAAATCGTAAAAGAACAAACAAACCAAAATAGCTAATGTACGATGTTAGGTTTGCAACTTAAAATTATGTATTGCCAATGTACGCTCGGAATAAGTAACTAATACAACAATATAAAACTTTTCATAAGCAATGCAATGTTTGATTTCCACTGTTAATCGACTCTCCATGAGTGATACCGTCATACTTATTTAGGAATTTATGTTTTATTTTATGGATAATAGTATTTACTGTAAGAACAATGCCTTCATTAAAATGTAGAATTCCTGTCCAATAATCACTATTATCATACCTACATTTTTCTAACCACAATTTGTATATTATCATTCACTGTGTAACAATCACTCTATTGTAATCCCTGAAAATTTAACGACCCTGCATTAGGTATGCACGAATTCCGTTTCTCATTTGAAATAAGAATACGTGTATTAATTGGATAATTGTATCTAATTAAATACGATGACTACCTTTAATATATACAATTTATGCTTAACAATTTTGAATCATAATCTCTATATCTCGAATAATAAAATGTGTCACTTGGTGTAAATCTTAATCCTCACAAATTATAAATCAAGTATACTTTGATACGAAGTAGCCGCGCGCTGAATTATATATCTAACATCTATAATAGGACTATTCTAAACTGTCTAACTTTTTTTTAGCCAGTAGATTTGTTTGTCGTTTGGCTTAACATTAAGTTTTCTGTCTCATGTAAGACTTGTCTTTTCTCATTTCTGATCCCTAATATCTTCTCTTTATATCTTTCATAGATGAGAGAAGACATAGTAGGGGAGAGGGAGGATCAATATGGCAAGTCATAAAAAGGAAGAAGTAAAACCAGTTTTGGGTTATGAAAGATCAGAAAGTTTCTACCAAACAGATGGTCATAATAATTATCAGCAATTTCATCCAAATGCAGCACAACCCCTTAATTTGTATGATTATAATGAACAACCTAATCATAATTATCCAGCTAGACCTCTACCTTATGTATCCCCTGAAGTTAGGCAAGGATTCTCTTTCGCCCGTGTAATGCTCTGTCTAATGGTATTTTTAATCTTGTTTGCATCTCTTATGAGCATGGTCGCATGGTCAGTATTTTCATCATATTGGCCAACAATTAAGGTAGAATCATTCGTTGTTCGTTCCTTTGAGATTTCCAACGGATCGTTGCTGAAAGCAAATTGGGAAACCAAAGTATCTGTGAAAAATACAAATCATCGTTCATCAATCGTGGTAGAGCAGGCAGAGAGTAGCTTGGTATACAAGTACGTTGTTCTTGACACGACTTCGTTGGTTGATCATTTGGAAATAGCAAAAGAGAGTACCCTCATGTTGCTTGACGCTTTTGCATTTCCCAATTCTAAACGGAGCTTCACCGGGGATTCGGTGCACAATGAAATGGCTAAAGATCAAGGAAGAGGGCACATTCTCTTTGATTTGAAAATTGATGTTCAAGTCATATTTAAGTCCGGGGTTTTGGAGAAGAGAAACAAGATCCGTGTGTATTGTGAAAAAATTAAATTGAATTTCCAAAATGGTTCCCCGATTCCAACGTGGGATGGTTCTAAAAGTGAATGTATAAATGGTTGAATCAAGTTTTGTCATCTTTTCTCTTTTTGATGTAATGCAGTAAGATAAATAATTTTTTTTTTTTTTTTTTTTTACCAGTAAGAGCATAGGTATAAATCGAGTTAAAAATAGAATATGTTATGTTATTAATCCCTTCTCAACCTGCATAATGGTTTTACCAAGTGCAAGGGAATTGATGGAGATTGCACAAAATATGTGTGGATGAATCAACTTATTTCCTTTTTTGTTAAATTCATTTGTGTTAGATATCAGTGTTCACAATCCGAAAACTAGAAAAAAAATGTTAGATGAACAAAACAGAAACAGAAAAAGAAAAGTTTCGAGCCCGACAGAAAATTGTATTTTCTTAAGAAATTTAATCCCCTTACTATTACCTAAGGTTGTTGGATTAATTCCTCCCAGAACAACTATTTTGTATTGCTGGCAATGAAAATTACCGAATTTCAGCGAACTCAACTGAACACTTATGTTTTTTGTTTTGAAAACTATACATAAATGCAAAGAAGAGATGAGAGAATGTATGCAGATATTTTAATCCATTTATTGTCTGAAAAATTAGGCTAATCCTTTGTACTTATAGCCAATGAATTTGGGTCTCAAATTGTGCAAAGGCACGTGTTCAGAAATAAGTGTCTGTTTGGTAAAAATGTTCAAATTTCTGTTAAGGACTGTTTGAGAAATTCGCGATATTCAATTTAGAAATTACCGTTGGGAAATAAAAATTTAAACCGTGAATTTTACTTTAATATTTCACGCGAGTAATTTTAGAAAAAGAAAAATAGATAAAGGAAAAGGAAAATAAATTTGGTATAAGAAATTTATCAATCAATCAGATCCGAAGCCAAGCAACGATGATGACGGCGCAAGTCTTGTTCTATTCTCAATTCTTTAAGAGGTAGAAGAAGTGTTTCTCTATATGAGCACAAGAATTTTCTGATGAGGGACCCTTTTCAACTTTTCGTTCTTCCTCCATTTTCCCCCCTCTATTTCTCATTCATACCTTAAACTCAACAATCCCCCACATGAATGAGAATGACTATATGATGAAAAAAATGTAAGAAAAACTATGTGATTCACAGGTAAAGATTAATTGTAGGTTTCCTTTTGGAGGCCCGCGAGAGGGATATGAGGTATACCTTGAAGTCTCCAGTAGCTCGGGATCAACTCATTATTGACCAACATGCTCTGAAGTATCTGGATCTGCACAAAAATATACAGAAGTATTGTATGAGTACACCACAATCGGTACCTCGTAAGTATCAAGTTTAACCTGGTGGAGTAGTGATGAGGTTCAAGTCGAGACACTCACTAGTCAAATAACATGTGCAGAATATCAATATAAAACTGACAATAGAAAGCATAACAAAATAAATATCAATAAGGAATAGGGCATGCGATAACACCACAAATTAACCAACAATTCGTAAAACACAAAGTGAAAATATTTAAGGAGAGCAAGGATATGTTCAAATCAGCAACCCGTTCCAACACAAGAATAACATCAAAAACAACCCCGATATACCACAAAACATAATCAATAAGCCACCCTCATGACGCCGTGTGAGCTTCAAAATAAAATATTTCCCCTTATATAGATACATGTGCATAAGCCCCCTTTTCTCCACATGTGCATCACAATGAAGTATTCCCCTTATTTGCAACACGCGCATAATCCTTCTTATCTCGCCGCATGCGCATCAATAACACCACCCTTATGCTGCCAAATGCGCATCTCGTTACCCTTATACTCCACACAATAACAATCACGCGTATAACACGTACGCATGTGCCAAAACATCACCACAACAACAATACCAATGTCACGACAACATTTCGCCCACGACTCAACAACAATGTTTGCAAGAATCAAAACAATATTATAAGGGTGGGGGAATGACAACAAAATAAAAATATGTTTCATACAACAAACAACTCAAAATCAAGGAATATTAATAGCATAAGGCCTAATCTGATCACAAACAAAACATACGCCCGTGTACAAACTCGTCACCTCATGTACACGTCGCTTCATATAGCACAAATAATGCAAATTAGACCAGATCCTAAGGGAAATTTTTCCTACACGAAGTTAGCAAAATACTCACCTCAAACAAGCTAAGTTAACACTCTAAGAAGCCCTTCCAGCGTGAATCAATCTTCGTACGACTCGAATCTAGCCAAAATAACTTATCATATCAATAAAAGATATAGAAAACAAGCCCAAACGATAAAGCTAAGATCTTGGTTCAGTTAAGCAAAGTCAACCCAAAAGTTAATCCTGGGCCCGAACCCTGAAACCCAACCAAACTCACAAATTCAGAATACCCATTCTAATACGAGTCCAAATATATGTGTTTCATTCAAATCGGACCTCAAATCGACCCTCAAATCATCAACTTTTACTTTAGAAATATTTTAACTACAATTCCCAATTTCTTCAATTCGATTCATCAATTAATTGCTAAATTCAAGGTTGGAATCATGAAATATACACCAAACCAAGTCAAAATTATTTACCCCAATTCAAATCGTGAAAATTCCCTCCAAAACCGTCTAAATTCTAGCTCTAGATCTCAAAATGTGATAAAATAACCATAGCCCTCGAAAATAGAATATTTAAGGTATGTCCAGGCATACCCTTTGCGAACACGGCATGTGCCAAGTGTTTACGAAGCATAAAATGATGAATGCCTCCGAAAACCACCACATGAATGTGATGACTTGGTCGCGAATGCGATGCATACCACATGAGAGCATACGCAAACATGATCCCTCCCTTGCGAATGCAAAGGCCCAAAATCTTGATGCTCCCAACCGACGATCCCTTCTACATGAACATAGCTCCCTGGTTGCGATCTCGAAGATCACTGCCTCCCCAAGATCCATGAATGCGTTCCTATATTTGCGAACACAAAGAAAAAATATGACGAGCTCGAAACACACACTTAATTTATGCTCGCTAATCAAATATAGTATAGTATAATGTCGTATCCATATGGAATGGATTTAAATAGTATTCTTGTAGTTTCTAGCTTTATTGCTATCCAAGATGATCAACACCTGAGTGTTATATGACTTCTAACTAAAGTAACTAAGAGTCTAAAGTTATTTACTAATGACAATCGAAACAAAGATAAGCAAGGGATTTATTAGTTAGAGAAAATATGGGTTGCTAGGATAGATGTAAGATAATTGTTTGGGATCTAACTCTAGATAATTCACTTCTAATGTTCAAGTGATTTTCTTGAATTCACTCAATTATTAGTTCAAACGTTAAGTAAAACCTCCTCTCTTGATTAAGTTTTAACCTCACAAGATGAACCAATTTAAGAACGTGAAGATATGCAAGAATGCATAGTGGATTAGTCTTTAGGAAAATCTCTTTTGATTATTCTCCTAACTAGGTTTAATCAATGATTTAACTAGACTTTTTCGATCACTAAGAAGAATCTATCAACTCAACTTACAATATAATGCAAAGATATCACAAGTTATGCCTCTCTCGATTACATGAACAAGTGAACATATATGCAATAGTTAAATCATCGAAAATGCTTCAATACATATAACTAGAGTTATAATCCACAAACAATCATCAAAACACCAAATCCATCAAACCCTAAAAGTGAACTACTCCGTAGACATGGAGAAATTCATCACAAATAAAGTTAAAGTATAGGAAAACATAAATTCAATCCAAACTCGTGTCTTGAGTGAGGAAGGAATGATGAAATCCTTGTGCTCGTGTTCTTCCAATTCCTCCTTAGCCTGCTTAGGTCGAATATGTGTCAAAAGTCCAAAAAATAATATTTTTTCATGTATATATACCAAGTAGGGTTGGACCCTGATGAAATAACATTTTTCTAGCCGAGATAGGAAAATTACTCTGTAAAAATTACACAAACGCGTCACATGGGGAGACACGCCATAAGAGGCATTAGTGGGGAAATCAAGAGAGTTGATATCTAATAGACATCAGAGATTTTCACTCGCGTAGTGCCCCACGCACCACGGCAGTGGGGAATTCTCAGAGTACGGAGCAAACTTTGATTTTTGATGTCCAGACTTGGTCCTCGACCACCGAACACAATCCCGGCTTCATCCCTTGGGCTTTTACTCATACTTCAAAGCTCCAAAACACTCAAATTAGCTCCGCAATATCTACATCACTCGGAATCACTCCTACAAGGCATAAAACATACAATATGTGCAAAACACTATCAATTAAATCGTAAACGAGGAAAGTGCAGTAAATTAGAGTGCAATAAGCAAATAAAACACGAGATTATAGCCTACTATCAATACCCATAGTTAAACCATTGCTCGTCCTCGAGCAATGAGACTACACTTCACATAGACATGACCTTTTTCAGCAACTCTCATAGCTCATCACACCAAGAATATTGAAAATAGACTAAGTACAATACCGTAACATCCTAGCCTCAAGATTTGACTCAAAAGCACCATATACATTTCACAACCCGCTCGCTTACTCTAACACATAGGTAAACAACATTACATTTCTTTCATGAATTAAGTGCCTCACACAACAATAGAGAGTAGTGCCACACACAATCAAATTTAAGAATAAATAGGAACTCAAGATAGAAAGAATTCACTCATCCTCAGAAATAATATTCATATGCCACAAAAGATGTACCATAGGCTCGCCCATAGTGCACTATTCAACTAATCGAGCTCATTCAGTCAAGGATCAAATATGACTTAATTTGGTTGTAATGTAGGCTGCGGGATTGGTAGGATATATTTAGATATAAGAGTGACTACACCTCGTTAAGCACTTTAATACATACATTTTATTGTTCAAAACCCCACACTTATGTCAAACCAAAACTCCACTTTCACATCAATATACATTAACTCCCTACTTCTCTAAGCACAATTACATCAAGAGTCACTGCTATTAAAGAATATTTTTAAGAACAAAAACTATGTTTTATTTTCTCTTTCCTTATTAATTAAAGTGGCTCTTACTTTTT